GTACATTTTAATAGTACGTTAATTAAGTTAAAGCTTATAAATTAAACTGGTATTAACTTTATAAATTAAGTTAAAGCTAAATGAGTGAACAATAAATTAGAATGCGTATAGGAAGATCAAAGCCATCATCAAAGCAAATAGACCCATTGCTTCTGTTAGAGCGAATCCCAAGATAGCGTTGTTAAATAGTTCTTTACGTAGAGCTGGGTTACGAGAAACACCTGTAATTAGAGAACCGAATAGAATACCAATACCAATAGAAGCACCACCTAGAGCGATACATGCAAGACCAGCACCAATCAATTTAGCTGCCATCAACATAAATTTTAAATTTATTAGTTTAACACAAAATACCTTCATTAACTCTTGTTTAATTTTTGTAAATTGTTATAATATACGGTACGTTACAATAATATACGGTACATTACAATAACATATTAAATCTTTCCTTAGTTAATTGTAATACAAATGAAACAAATTAAAACTATGTCTATTAAATTTATTAAATAAAATAAAACATGTTTACATAGCATTTAATAAATAATATTGTATATTAATTAACCTTGTTATATTTGTCTTTATTATATTTGTCTTATATTTAAAGAGCCATTTTATCTTTATATTTAAGCTGTAATATGTAATTTGTTATTTATTTTATTTTGTTATTTATATTTAAGTTGTAACAATATTTAATACGTTATATTTAACCTGTAAATAAGTTGATATCACAATAATTTAATTATCTTAATAAGTTTATTCTCACAATAACTTCACATAATAGATTAATTCACATAAGTTAAAATTTATTTATTGGTTATAATTATATAGTAGAATTTATATATACCTTGGATTTATTGTAGCTCTAGTTATATATACACTAAATTTATTGTAGCTCAAATGTCTTCATTTAATTTAACATTGTTCTTTAATGTCATTATATTTCCCATGCTAAGACTTTTAATATTAATATTGAATACATATATGTTTATACTTTAATATAACAAATATATGCTCTTATTATAATTATGTTGTATAAATATGTCATACACATCATTTAATATATTAAACATTTCTATGCTATACACATTAACATTTACATTAACATTCATATTTACTTTGTTGTTATACATACCTTACCATATACTAAACAATCTTATAAACCAAAATTTGTATATTAACCAAACTAATATATTAACTATTTCCTACTTAGTCTATAAATTATATAACATTTTTATTTATGTTTATGCAAATATAAGTTGTAATTTAAATAAACCAATTATTTTAATTTACTCATATTAGCAGACCAACGGTCTGATTGTAGTTTGTCTATTAGTTGAGTCGTAGACTGAATTAATATAACAATTAAATTATGTTGTAATAATTAACTATAAGAAATTAACTATATTATACTGTAAGATATAGCTATTACATACTGTTACAGCCTACGGCTGATGCTTAATAATTTGACTGTTGTAAACTACAATTACTTATGCAATTATATTAAAGTTATTATATTAGTTATTAAAGTTATTATATTAGTTATTAAAGTTATTAAAGTTATTATATTAGTTATTAAAGTTATTATATTAAAATTATATTATAGTAATCGGAGTTTACCTCTTAGTAAATAATATACTGACAAGAACGGTAAATTTCTAGGTATATGATAAATTCAGTCGTAGACTGTATAATAGAAATTGTTTAAATATGTTTGTATTATTGTAAATTTTGTATTGCATATCTTGTTAAATTATATAATTTAGAAATTCATATAAGTTAACCTTATATTAAAATTGTAATTATCCATTAATTTAAATATGGTAGTTAATTAATTTTACTTAATTAGAACTAGGGAATATTTATGTAAATAATTAAGCTACATAAAGTGACTATGCTAATATTTAAATATTAATTAAAGTATTATGTTGCATTTTTACCTAAAATCACATTTAACTAACTATTGCATTAAACTAAGAATATATCTAGATTTAAATCGTTACAATTAACCTTAACTTATATAGAGTTACAATGTATATAACCTATATTATATATAATCCCAAATGTAAATAATGAGGTTAACTTATACATAATGAGGTTAACTTATACATAATGAGGTTAACTTATACATAATGGTGAGTCAACTAAATAATATTTGTTAATTTATATGTTAGTAAGTAAGTACAACTACAATAAACTCTTATTGCAATATTATTTGTAGCGGTTATATTTAACAGTCTACGACTGAGAATAAGCTAAATTTATTAACACTATTAAAATAAACTAGATTTGTTTAGACTATTAATATAACTTGTTAAAACTAGCAAGATATTGGTAAAAAGTTAGTAAAATTAAACTTAAATTTAAGGTAATTTTCTAATATAATTAACATAATTTATATAAATAATTAAAGTGTTTAATACATTCCTCCCAAATTATTTTATGTACATATAACATTTAATAATCGGAGACAAACTATACAGTCTATTATAAATTAATCAAGAGTTTATTATAAATTTTACAGAATTATTTAGTTTGAATTTAATACCTCATATAACAAATTTATGTATAATTTTATATAAATCAACCATTAATTAATTATTTAAAATATAATAAAAGTTCTTTTCTCTATGAACATGTAATATTATTAATTATAAACATAATCTCATAACATACTTGATTTATTTTCTTTGATACATATAGTTTACTACTTTGTACATTATTATTTTATTTGCTTGTGCCTAAAATGTAGGTTTAAACCAACCTTTTACATTTATAACATGTTCTGTTAAATAATTTAATACATTTATGCATAAATATTAAGACAATTAAATACTTTATATTAATACAATTAAATGCTTAAACATTAAACAAATTTATAATCTATTACTTAAGCTATTATACTATTTAAGTTATTATATTTATTTATGTATGTCACCATTAGAATTAACTTACATGTGTGCTCACTATCTATTTAGATTATGTTTCCATCAGAATTAACTTCATATTATATATTTTATTGGAGCTTATGCGACTGGGTAAAGTATACTAAGATAATAATTTTACTTTTAAATTAACCTATATTTTTACATAATATTAAATAACCAATATATTTACATAATATTAAATAACCAATATATTTAACATTAAAATAACTCCATTTCTTACTTTATTCTATATTAATTTAAGCTATACATATTATTCTAAGCTAGATTAATAGTAATTTAAGCTACATATGTTATAATTAAATATGAATCACGTATATACTGTGCTAATTATACGATTAAGGTAAACAATACAAATAAGCTGATAACATGCTTAACTATATAAATGGTCTGTTTAAACTTTGACAATAATTATTTGCCCTAATAAGAGAATTAGTATCCTTAATAAGAGAATTAATTGACCTAATTAAATAATAAACAATATAATATAACTTAACTTCTTTTAAATTAATTTAATATAACTTCTTTAAATTAATATGATATATTTTAGAGTATGTCTTCTTTAATTTAAATAAATTAATATGGTACAGTCTACGACTGATGTATATTTATAAACTAACTATATATTTTATAAACTAACAATATTTAATAGTTGAGAATTAAATCAACATATTAAATATAAACATTTAATAAATTAAATATAAACATAAATCTAATATATAAATAAACCATTGAAAGTCAAGGGTATAAATGACTAAGAAGAAACAAAAGTAATAGGATATTATTTACAACTAATTAATTATATAAGCGTAATTTATTCAGTCGTAGACTGTCTCTAATTTTATAAGTGTATATTTCTAATGTTATAAGTGTATATTTCTAATTTTAATTAAGTGATTATTATTAAAATATCTATATTTATATATTTAATATGTTAGAACTTATATGTTATTATATTATCTTTGTAAATTAACCTAAGTTTTAATACACAATGTTGACCTAAGTATAATCATTATACTTTAATTGTTGACTTAAAAATATCTTAAGATATTTAGTTAACTGTATTATAGATTATATAGATTAATAATAAAAGCTTTATTATTGTTTATACTATAAACTTCTACAAATTAGTTATGTTATTTAATTATAATTCATTTATTAAATGTAGTGTTAATTATAATTACTTTAAAAACATTTACATTAAAATTTTTGCTCACACTATTTAATTCCAAGTGTTGGTTATGTTAATATAATTCCAAGTGTTGGTTATGTTAATATAATTAATAGTTTTAGACCAATGTTAATATAGTTATTTCAAATTATAGTTAAATTTAATAATTATCGTATTATTTGTTTATGGTAATTTAATTTATTTGTCTATAGTATAATTACTTTATATATAATTATACGCTGTAGTAGTTAATTTAAACTTTTACTGTTATCTAATTAGTCGTATTTTATAAATTATTTGCATATTTAACCATTCAGAAGTAACCTATTTTGTATTACAATTGCTTTAACCTTAATACTTATTATATTTATGCATTTACAACAATACTTATTATATTTATGCATTTACAACAATATACGCTTATTATATTTATACATTTACAATAATACGCTTAATTCACTTAGCTTGTGTAATATATTTAAATTTGCTAATGTGTATTAAGAATAGGGTTATAATACACCTGTGACATTATACAATGTGTCTTAAGTTTTTACAAATTTGCTGGCAATATGATTTGACAAAATTAATCATAAACCTTTTTAATAAACTATTTCAAAGCTTAATAAATTAAACAATATTTTAATTACCTTATGTTTATTGTAACATGTTAATGTAACTATGTAAATTATTTAACGTACATAGCGTTTATTAAGCATATATTGAAGTTTAAATAACTTTTGTAAACAATAACTTATATTGTAAACAAGATTTTATTAGAAATTTTAGTTAATTATATTAGAAAATTTAGTTATTAATTTAAAGAGTTATATAAAATTTATTAGATTTAAAATAAATTTAAATTTAATTTAGTTAATTATATTAGAAAATAAGGGTGGGAGGAATCGAACCCACATTAACGGTTTTGGAGACCGTTGTTCTACCATTGAACTACACCCCTGTTAGTAAACAGTCTTACGACTGAAAGACATAAGACTTAATCGTAATAATTGAAGTTTAAATAACTCTATAATATTTGGTAGTTGATATAGTATATTCTTAATAATTAGTAATTTATATGATAATAATTAGTAATTTATATGATAATAATTAGTAATTGATATTGCATGTATTTATAAACAAATTATCATACTTATTTATAAACAAATTATCATACTTATTTATAAAGGCAAAATTTAACATCATACATATGAATAATTAAACTTTAAATATTGCAAAAGATATAAAATTTATCAACAAGTTAAGCTAATTCGACTAGTATTGCCAGTCTACGACTGATAAATAATACATACAATATTTATGTTTATTAAATAACATTGAAATTTAACTGCATGTAGCTTAAGTTTATCAAGTTTAAACTTTACAAATCTGCAATAAACCAAGAGTCTACAAGATTAGAGTAAGTCAAAATTAGGTAAGTCTACAAAGTTAGAATAAAACTTTAAAGTGCTAAATTTATGTAAATTAGCTGTAAACTAAATGCTTTTGACATAATCTACAATAAAATTAATAATGGTATTCATAAACATTATTTATCTTTTACTTTTATAAACTCTTTTGATTAACCCTTTTAGCACCTAAACTATATAATTATAACCATTTTAGCTTCTAATTTAATAATACCATTTTTCTACAATTACCAAGTCACAAACTATTAATTTCTTAAATAATCTTAAATAATATCTTAATTGCTCATTTACAAATTAGTTCTCGGGCTATTTTATTAAGCTTAATTTATATTAGAGTCCCATTAAATATAAACCTTTAGGAATGAGTGGAATCGAACCACTATCGATAAGACCCAAACTTACCATTCTACCATTGAACTACATTCCTATTTTAACCTAACCCTAATCCTAACCCTAATCCTAATCCTAATCCTAATCCTAATTTTAACTCTAAATATATATTATAGTCAAACAAATAATATATTATACTGTAAACAATGATATTGCAATTCATACTGAATTTTAAAACTTAGGTTAATTTACAAAGATAATATAATAACACAAAACATTGATTATATTATAAATTAATTAGTGAATACTTATATTATAAATTTTAGCTAATACTGTGAAATTAAGCATCAATAATATTAGTTGTTTAATAAAATTTGTAGTAAGACAGTAAATTTACTTCAAAATGAGTATATTCACGATTTGCTTACCTTAATTGCGTGTTACATAAATGTTAAACGCATAGGCTTAATTTTAATCCTAAACTTGTCAACCAGTATATTTATTAGCACATACAACAAATACTCTTTACTCTAAGATTTTGCCTAAGTTATGCATACTTTTTTAAGTGTAATATAAATTAATAAAAGATATAAATTATTTAGTTCATACAATACTTAATCGAAACCTTTAAATACTGTTGTTAATATTAAATTTGAATTTATAAGATTTAAACTAATAAGACCATATAATAAATACGTTTATTTAATATCTTGTTATGTTATATGTTATGCTATATTTAATATCTTGTTATGTTATATGTTATGCTATACTAATACTTATACTTATACTTACACTTACTAATACTTATACTTATACTTAAAGTGCAGTATAATTATAAAAGTAGTTAATTTTCATATTTGCATTTTACATAAATTTACCTTTAACTTATAAAATTTAACCAACGTAAAAGCTTATTAATCAATTGTAAGTTTAATGTAATTCTTGACCATATCACCGGAAGAGAATCGAACTCTTATTTAAAGGTTATGAGCCTTTCGTGTTAACCATTACACTACCGGTAATGATAAAATAATTAAGCTAAGTCGTTAGAATTACTCCATTAAAATTGGGGACGGTGAGAATCGAACTCACAGCTCTTACGACACGGATTTACAGTCCGCTGAACAACCACTGTTCATCATCCCGTAGTATAATACAGAATTACAATTTGTTACTATATAAGCGTAATCCTGACTTTATTTAAGATATAGTTTGGAAGGATGATGGGACTAAAACCTGGTTATATCTTGATTACATTGCATGCTAATGAGAATGATGGGAATCGAACCCACATCTACTTGCTCGACAAGCAAGAGCTTTACCATTAAGCTACATCCCTTTAAATTGACGTATAATCAATATATCAATATCTTAAGCTAAAGATTAAAGTATAATTTATAAATTTACAAAGTTTACAAGCTTAGGGATGGTGATACTCGGATACAATACAGGTTTAAAGCTTGTTGCTGTAAGTAATAAACCCTAATTGTATTTAAGAAACTAAGAGATTGAGACTCAAAACGAGAGGACAGTGAGACTCGAACTCACACATTACAGGTTCAAAGCCTGTTGCTCTTACCAATTTAGCTATGCCCTGTTGTTTTTAGTTAAACGCTGTATCAGGTCCTAAGTTAGGATATAGGGTCCAACGATTACTATACCAGGATTAACTTATTGCATTACAGTTAAAAGATAAATTAAACGATTTAATAATTAAAGCTCCAAATTAATATCATAATAACTTCAGTGTATTTAATATTGTAATGTGAAAATTTATCATGAAAATGTTTTTTATAATGTAACAGATGCTACATAAAACTTAATATCATGACCAAACGACCATATACGTAAACATATACTGGTTAGCTTGATCAGAAACTAGTTAATAAAGTATGTTCAACAAAATAAGTTCAATAAAAATAGGTGGTGAATTAACATTGTCTAATTATCGGACAGCTTCAGCTACCCGAACTTTGTTACAACTTACGACCACTCATAAACAGCAAAATAGACTCTATATACAGTATAGGATTATAAATAACCCTTTTAATAGCTAAAGTCTATAGGCTCCTCATTAATAGTCGTTGATGGGCAATTTGTACAATTTCGAGATGACATTCACCGTGGTATGCTAACCCACGATTACTAACTACTCCAACTTCAAAAGAATGAGTTTCAATTCTTTATCCGAATTAAGACTGAATTTATTAAATACATTTGTTTCAGCCATTGTATTGTGAATATAGCCCTTATTACTGGACCATGCGTATCTGAGCTCAACTACGTAGGGGTAGCTTATGCTAGTTGAAAGGATTGCTCCACCAGCTTTGCTCGACCATGCAATACCAAAGAATAAGGTAAGATTTATGGGGCATTATCCAATTAAATTTCACAATCCGCAGTTTATGTCGAAACCCGCCAAATCAATTCCATTTCAAGGTTGCCCTATTATACTCTGGAGGCGCCATGAATGTTTCACATGGTGAATTTAGGGTGAGGACTACATGAGTATCTAATTCATTTCGCTAACCTCACTTTAGTAGTTCAATGTCAGTATTAATATAGAATGATGCTGTCGCACATAGATGTTCTAACTCATTTTTACAAATTTAATCTCTACACAAGTTATTCCTCATATTCTTTTAAAAATACTCTAGACAAATGTCCATCTTACTACACTTAATGCCTATTTAAGATTTATAATGCAATTCCACCTGTATTACCGCGGCTGCTGGCACAGGTTTGGCCGGAATTTAAAATAAGAATACTCATTCTGTTGTTCTTATTTTGGAAACACCCAGTGTCTCCTGATATTGACTGGGGCAACCTTTCGGTCCTTACCCAAGATTCCTCACTGCTGCCAAGGGGAATTTCTTCATTAAATAATTCTGTGGCTGTCGCTAAGCATCATCGGCAAGGGCTGCTATTACCAGACCCTTCTACCTAATACTCAGAATCTATCGTCCAGACTAAACTCATAAAGTTAATTTTCTGGGTAAATAGATCCATTACTCACCTTTATGCCAAAAAGTTCTTAGAACTTAATTCGACCAGCATGTGTAAAGTCAATATCTCGCATTTATAATGAACCATGATCATATACGTCAATTCCAACTTAAATAAGGCGATACACGCCCTAGAAATCTACTTAAAGGTATTTATCCTTCTAAAGCTATAGCTTAAATATTGTAAATTGTTATAATTAATCTCCGATTATTAAATGTTATATGTTGATAAATATAAAGTAATAGGGTATAATATGACAAATATAAAATTATAGGGTATAATATGACAAATATAAAATTATAGGGTATAATATGATAAATATAAAGTAATAGGGTATAATATGTTAAATAAATTTAAATTATTAAATTGCTTACAGTATAGACTTAAATGGTTTAATGTTAAGTATAGCTGGATAAGTGTTATATACATATTGTCAATGTTAAGTATAGTTGGGTTACCAATAATATAGACTTTATTTGTATAGAATAATCAATCAACCTAATAGAGTAATGTTACGCGTATATCTCATAATATGCCAAGATAGTATAAGATTAAATGTATCGTGATAGTATAAAATTATCTAATTTATTAGACTAATATTATAATATTTAATGTATGGAGATATAAGAATATATAATAATTTTATATAAAAGTATATAAATTTTATTTAAAGTGTATAATAGCTTAAATTTAGTATAAATTGTAGAGTTAATATTAGCTTAAATACCTACATTTATATTCGTGTTATTAAACAGTCGTAGACTGATAAGAAACTAGTATAGGCCCAGTCGGTATAAGCCTCCCTCTTAATTACTCACATACATTTTATAATTTAAGAGATCACAGTCATAGACTGTTTGAGAGATTATACTTTAAAATCAAATATCTTAAGATATTTTTTATAATAAAATAAAATAAGATAGTATAAGTTTTATAGGATCTGATAACATATTACACATAAATTACTTAATTGCGAGCAATTAGTTCTACTTAATTTAAGTTATAGGTAAATCATTTGTTAAAAATAAATCAGTTAAAATAAATCAATTCTATTGTTATTTGGCATAATCTCTTTAATAAAGTCTATTGTTATTTAGCATAATCTCTTTAATAAAGTCTATACAACTTGGCATAATCTCTTTAATAAAGTATATACAACTGGAAATTAACCTTGCGTCATATTTACTATGGTTATTAAACTATTGTGTGCTCATATAAATAAGGCTCACTACGTAGCCGTGTAATAGATTTTAAGTTATTAAATATATTAGGTTACAAACAACCTGTACTAATCAGCCTTGGGCTCACTACATAATAGTGTATTTACCTTGGGCTCACTACATAATAGTATATTTTCCTAGTGTGTTGCAAGTGCCAATAATACAATAATCATTTGGTATACTTTTAACAATGTAATAAAGTTACATAATTTAATAAACTTAAGGTAAATTCTCACAGTAAATTTAAAACTATATTTATTTTATGTAGTAGGTTTAAGACTATTTTATATAGGTTAAAGACTATATATATATTATAGTAAATTTAAACAAATATCTTAAGATATTTTTAGGGTAAATAAATTTATATACAAAGGAAATTAAATGGTAAATTATTATATTTAAATTTTATCAATATATGTTTATATATTTAAATCTTTTATTACAGGTAGGAATAATTTAGTTGCTTGTCATTTGTTATTCTTAATAATATCAGGCCCTCTTTTATTAAGTACGGTACAACTTAATACTATTTGTATGATTTACTTATAATTTATTACAGTATTAAGCTTAATTGTATACTGTTGATTATATTTATTGCACATTATTTACTATAACCGTATTATTCATTGTATAATTTTAACCGCATTAATTACTTTAACCGTATATCCTATTATTTATACATATTATCATTAGACATCTCGGTCAGTCTACGACTGTTTTACTGGAGGCTAACTCCGACTAGGTATATTACTTATTTTTACTACACTTAAAATTAATCTAACTTTACTAAAATTAAATAAGCCTTACAAAATAGCTTAAATAGATTAATTTAGATAGCTTAAATAACTTTATTTAATAAATTTAAATAATTCAATTTATGTCACGTACAAGGAGAGTCAAGAATAAGCAGGTATTATTTTAGCTTAGTCAACATTTATAATTAGAGCTTTGAACCTATTCTACAATTATAAATTTAATTTAACTAACTTAATTAATGTAACATCCTACATTAAGTTTAATATAACCTGTTACATCCTACATTTAGTTTAATATAACCTGTCACGTTAATATATTAACCTACTACATTTATTCAAGATTATATTAATTTGATTAAGGAGGCTTACAGCTGACTGAAGTAATATGAGGGTAGGAATATAATATAAATTGTATACAAATTCCAACTACTATTATTAAATTAGTAAAGTTTATTAATTTATTTAGACTAATGTTATATTTTAATTAAGTATAGATTCTATAGCAATTGTTAATTCTTTTAAGCATAAATTATCTTATGAGTTTGTTATGCCATGAATTAAATAATTAGTTTGAGAAAGAATTAGTAATAATTACATTATGTTTTAATTACTAATAGCTTGTTATATATTATATTTTAATTATTAATAGCTTGTTATATATTATATATATACCTTAGTATATTAAGATACCCTCGTTTATATAAATACACTTATTTGTAAATTAAATACTTTATGCCAAATAATAAACAAATCATGTTACTTAAATAATAATAATAATACAAAAAGGCTTAATTTCTATATTAATCTAGTTACTCAAACATTTTCATGTTTTTTAATCTAATTACTTATATTAACATATTTAGCATGGATTTATTTAATATTTTATTTATATTTAGTATCCAATATTATATAATTTTATTTTTAATTAAGTTAAATTAGTTAAGTTAAGTTAAATTTTAATTGAGGTATAATTTAATTAGTAAGTTATTAAATTTTAATTGAGGTATAATTTAATTAGTAAGTTATTAAACTTTATTGGGTATAATTTAATTGGTAAGTTATTAAACTTTATTGGGGTTATAGATCAGTCGTTAGACTGTTCAGCTAGTAATTTCACTATTTATAGATTAAGCTATTGTTATTAAACTAAACTTATATTTAAATTATTTAAATTATTTATAAATTATAATTGTTTAACACTATTTAATTGCAAATTGATAAAATATAAGCTATACTAAAAATATCTTAAGATATTTGTTTATTTTTATATTATTATGCTCTTACCTACATAATTACATATTTACCAACATAATTATATACTTTTATGCATAATTACATATTTTATGGCTATAATAACCTATCTGGGTATGTTTAATTACCTTATTAAATTTTACTATAGTGTTAAATTATTACTTATTAAATTATTGTGAGTGTTATTTATTGCTTATTAAATTATTGTGAGTGTTATTTATTGCTTATTAAAGCACAGTCTACGACTGAAGTAGTTATTTACTTTCATATAAATAGACCAATTGATAAAATTAATATTCAAACTAGCTTAATTTATTACTATTATTAATATTTTAATAAAAGGTTAACTTATACATGATTCATTA